GGGAATCAGTGGGTAAGGTTGGAAAGGGAAAGGGGAAGGGGGGGAATCAGGGGTGGGAGGTGGAAAGAGGACGGTAGGGAGGGAAAGGGGGTAGGGGTCGTGGGAAAGGAATCAGACGAATGTTGGAAAGGGGAAAAGGAAGAGAGGATGGTAGAAGAGGTTGGGGAAAGGGTATAGGAAGAGGTTAGTGAGGGAGAAGGGGGGGGGTGAATACGAACTACCGTGGGTGGAAAGTAGTGGGGGGGAGACGAGGGTAGAGGGAGGGGAAGGGGAAAGCTGGTTTCACTCCGTCTCGCTATGTAGGGGGAGAAGGGGTGGGGGGTGGGGGGGAATCCTTGGGAGGTGTTTGTTGTCCTGTCTCGGGGAACCTGGGAGATGTCCAAAGGAAGGGGGAGGGAGAGCAGGACAAAAGGACCCCTCACACAGAAGGAAAACCCGACGGGGAATAGAAGAAGAGAGAAATGCAGATAAGAATTATCTCAATGTATTCGAAGTCGTCCCCTCCCCCTCACCCCTTCCCCTTCCTTCTAATATGCGCACGACAGAAGGGGCAGGCCGGGGAGGAGGGAGGAGGGAGGAGGGGTAGGAGTCGAAGGAGGGGAGGGGGGGGGGGAAGAGGATCCTTTGGCCGTGTCCGACGCCTTTGGACACAGGATGCGCTTATCTGGCGGCCCTTGAGGTGACGGGGAGCAGGCGGGCCGTCGGTGCCCTGGTGCGGGTGCCTTCGCTCGGATAACACCTCTTCCTTGGCCCTCCTCCTCCTTGGCCCTGCTCCTGGCCCTCCCTTCCTACTTCTACTTTTGATTCCTCTTCCTCTTCTTTCCTTCCTGCTCCTCATTCTTTGCCCTTAACTCCTTGGCCCTACTCTTCCTCCTCCTACTCCTGATCCTCTTCCTCCTGATCCTCCTCCTTGGCCATCCTCCTCCTTCTCCTCCCATTCTCTCATGCTCGGCTCTCTTTCTTGTCTCTTCCATAGAAAGAGAACGATGGGATAGATAGATGAATAGATATAGATAGAGATATATAGAGACAAACAGAAAGAGAAAAGAAGAGAAGAAAAGAAGGATTTCTGCCAGGGATGAGAAAGGAGAGAAAGAAATACGGAGAAAGAGAAAGGAAGAGAAAGAAAAAAGAAGATTTCTGCCAGGGATGAGAAAGAGAGAGAAGAGAAAGAAATAAAGAAGAAAAGAAGAAATTTACGAACTCCGAGAATCGACAGCCATTAAATCGTGTTCTCGGTGTTTTATGGCCTACTCTGCGTATTAAAGGTATTTTTTTTCACCCTGTAGCGTGATAATTATCCCCGTGAGGACGTAGCTAGGGTGGGGAAGGAGGGGGGGGTAGGGGAGAGTGGGGGTAGGGGGTGGGGGAGATTCCTTCCCTCGGCCCGCCATTTTTTTTTTTATTGGAAAAATGTGCCATGTTTTTTTTTTCGTCTGTCGTTGTTTTATGTATTTTTTATTATTGTTTCGTATTTTGTTGTCTTTTTTTTTCTTATTATTTATTCCTCTTAAGACGTACATTTTTCTTTTTCTCTCTCTCTCTCCCTCACAAATCCGCAAAGTATATTTTTTTTCACCTTATTACCCTATTCATCATCGTTTTATCTGCATTTCCCCTTCTTCTTCCTCTTCTTTATTGCCGTCTCTCTCCTTCCCCCGATTCTCTCTCTCCATCTCCTCCACGTCGTTCCTTATATCCGGCGTTCGCTCTGACGGAAATCGCGAACGGCAGGTAGAGTGTCTGTCGGTTGGAGCGGACACCCGACCTCTCGTCTCCCGGTCGTCTGGAGTCGGTCGGCGGGTCGTCTCGTTCGGGTCGGGTCGGGTCGGGTCGGGTCGGGTCGGGGGGCGTACCCGGAACCCGACGTCGGGGATGAGGCTGTTGGGAAGCCGGTCGGGAGGGTTGTTTGTGTGTTTGTTTGTTTGTTTGTTTTGTTTTTGATCCTTTCGTTCCTCTGTTTTTTTATTTCTGTCTCTGGATCGCTTTTTTTTCTTTTTTTTTTCTCTTTCGCTTTTTTTCTTTTCTTTCGATTTCTCCCCCTTCTGTCTCGTTTTTCTCTCCCTTTCTCTCTTTTTCTATCTCCTTAGACCTCCTCCTCTGACCTTCCCTTCCTCTTTTTTCCCTCCCCCCCTTCTACCCCACCTCCTCCCCTCCCCCTCCCATCTCTTCCACCCCACCCCCTTCCCATCCCTTCCTCCCCCTCTCCTTCTCCCCTCCCTCCCCTCATCTCTCCTCCCCCTCTCCTCTCCCTCCCCCATCTCTCCCTCTCCCATTCTCTCCCTCTCCCTCTCCCTCTCCACCTCCCCCACCCCATATAAGCCCGAGCCCCACTCTTATCGGCGCGACAACCCTGCCCATTCTGCCCTGATAGATGGCGCTCTTCACCGCCTCGCGGGCACTGGCTGCATATGGCGCGTCCCCCTCCCCCCCTTCCCCCTTCCCCCGTGCCATTACCCTCCCTTCCCTCCCCTAACTTCTGCTCTTCTCTCTTCTCCTTGTGGTTCGCGTCCTTTCGCTTCTCTGTGGTCTTTTGTTTGTTTATTTCTCTTTCTCTTTCTCTCTCTTCTCTTCTCTCTACTCTTTCTCTCTTGCTCTCTTCTCTCTCTCTTCTCTCACTCCTCTCTTCGCTTCTCTTCTTTTCTCTCCCCTTTCCCATCTTGCCTCCTTTTCCGGATATACCTCTTCCCTCCTACCCATCCCCTTCCCCCTTCCTTTCCTCCTTCCCTCCTTCCTCCCCTCCCTCCCCTCCTCCCTCCTCCCTCCTCCCTCCTCTCCCTCATTCCTCTCCTCCCCTTCCCCTCCTCCCCTCCCCCCTCCTCCTGTCTTAGCCGGTCCAGCAAGCATTGCATTCCAGCGGTTGGTCTTGCAATGATATCTAAGTGAGCGAGATAAAACGATTGCAACAATAGGTGGGAGGGGAGGGGGGAAGGGGGTTACCTTGCCTTATCGTGATGGTGAGTGCGCGGCTGAGGGGAGGGGGAAGGGGGGGGTAATTGGGATGACTGGAGTTAAAGGGGGAGGAACTCATCCTCTTCTCTCTCTCTTCTCTGCAATTCGCTCTCATCTGCTCTTTTTCTTCTATTTCCCCCTTTCCTTTTCTTCTCTCTGTACTTTCCCCTCCTCCTCTCTTTTCTCTCTTTTCCTCTATTCCCCCTCCATCCTCTCTCTCCATCTCATTCCTCCTCTCTC